TTTTAGATGCATCAGCAAGTCTCGGGCAGCCACCTCTAGCCTCAGGGATGAGTTGGTCCCAACCTCCCCCCACCCCCCGACTAACAGTTGCAATGAGTGTACACTGAAGCTCTCCAAACAGCTTCGTGGAAGCTCCCCTCGGCAGGCTGGAGGTAAAGGTTATAGCTTGCACCAAAAAATTTCCTGCCCACATTTACCCCCACTCCACATTCTGATCCAGTCTGTAGCTATTTCCTTTGCAATTCTGCATACATTGACTTGTCTAGCCCTCACTTCAGTCTCAAATATCTATTGTTTTTGAAATCCAAGATGGAACTGAGGCAAGAAGAGTCTCATTCTAACCTCCTATTTCAAATTCATAAACATGTAGCATGAGCTCTTCTTAGCCATCTTACTCTTTCAAGCCACATTGAATATATTCTTCACTATCATCCCTGTGACAGACCGCCAGTGTTTTCTAAAAGCTGTTCTTCTTTCCTTCTTGGTAAAGAGTTTTAGCTTGCCCATTACCTTAAGCTGGAGGATGCTTCTTCCTGCCACTCTTGACACTAGGTGGGTGTGGTCCTGGTATTAAGTTCTTACCAATAGAGTGTGAGTTGGAGTGAAGTGTGTCCTGTCATTCCATGCATTTTAAGAGGAAATCAGAAGATTCAGTTCTGGTTAGGATGGAGTAAGCATACCCCACACCATCTCTCCACTTACTAAGTCTAAAATGCTTGGGTAAAATACATAAAGCAACTCTTAGAGGACTCTAAAAAGTGAGTAAGAACAGGAGGACTGAATAGGAAGTTCAGGGCTCCAAAGCAACCCAGTAGTGTTGTTGTTGTTTTTGCTTTGTTTGTTTGTGACTCTAATATATGATGGCTTGACCTCTGGAGCATCCCAAAAATGGAATCGCAAAGAGGAAACACCAAGAGAAGTCCATGATCTCTACTCAGAGAACCAAAAGGGGTGGTTACAAAAATCTATCTATCAATCTATCTATCTATCTATCTATCTATCTATCTATCATCTATCTATCTATCTATCTTAAAACTCATAGGATGACACACCCCCAAAAAGGAATTTTACTACATGTAAATTAAAAATAACTTAAAAAAAGGGAATCACTTTCCCAAGATATCCTTCTTCCCACAGTTTAGGACATTGACATAAAATGGAGCCATTTTGCTCATACAGGTTAAGGACAACATCCTCTAAGGATGGCAGAGCCATGGCACATGGAAGCTGCCCCAGTGGTCTGGACTACCCTCTGTGGTACCCACTTTTTGTAGCAACTTCACTTCCACCCTTACCTTATCAAACCTCTAATGCTTTTCACATGGGCTACCCCTAAGCTATGTCTGCTCCATACATCACAGGTGCAGGCAACTTGTTTAAGCTTGGCAGGACCCTGCATACTCAGTCTTGTTAGGGGCAGGTCAGTCTAGGCTGGCTTGGATCCATGTTCTGTCATCCAATGTATCTGCCATTCCTTCCAAGTGAGTCAAATCTGAAAACTTAATATTGATAAAGGCACTGGTAAGTATGTTGATTAGGACTAGAGAGAGAGCCACAGGACACTGCTGATCTCTACTTCAAGGAGAAAAGGAGAGCTGGAGTATGCTTACCAAAATATGGAGAACTGATTAAAATTTTTGGGTGGAATTTCTTTCCAGGCTGATAGCAATCACTTTATTGTCAAATAAATTATTAACCTATCTAGTTATGTCAGGTCTAGCTTATTTTTCCCCATTTTAGCCACACACACAAAAAAGGGAGAATTTTCATTAGTGACTTGCTAAAATGCAAATATACTCTATCTCTTATACTTCTCCAGCATTCTAGTTTTCAACAGGGAAATAAGAAATTAATTTAGCCAACATGACTTGGTCTTGGTATACTCTTATTTGGTCTTGGTGGCAAACTTCCTCTGGTGGCTAGGCAAAGACTATAATGATCAATTCCAAAATCAGGTTCAGGAGTAAGTGTACCAGTCTGAGGCCTGTTTAATCTATGCTTTACCCTGTTTTGAAAATAAGAATACTTTTCTCTTATTGTCCATAGTTCTCTTGCACATTCTTTTTTATTCCTCAGCAATAATCAAGAGCAGTTCAGTGACCTGACTTGCAAGTTCTCCACAGCTGTGAGAAATAATTAATATGAATTCATGTGCAAAATATATATATATATATATATTATTTGCAGTACCTGAGTTATCTGTCTTTCAAACTCTTTGTCCAACTGAGGTTTCAGTTCCTTCATATCAGAGTTCATTTATTCATACCTCATTCATCCATTCAGCACATATCTACTGAGAGCCTCCTCTGTGCCTGGCATTAATGGAAATGCTGAAGATTCAGCAGAGAACCAAACAGACCAAAATCCCTCAAGGAGTTTACATTTAATCAAATAAAGGTATAAAATTATAGAGTGTCAGATAGGGACCAGTTGTATGGAAATAAATATTTTAGGGAAGAGGTGGCCGTCATGAGTGTGAAATTAAAATTTTTAAAAGGATGGTCAAGAAAAAAGTTGCCAAGAAAGATTCATTTAAGCAAAAGACTGGAGGAGGTAAAGGAGTAAGTCATGCAGATCTTCAGGGTAGAGAGTTCCAACCAAAGGAAGCAACAAGTACTAAATCTCCAAGTCAGGAACGTACCCAACACATTTGAGAAACAGTACGAAGGACAGTGTTGCTGGAGAAGAATGAATGAGTGGGAGAGAAGTAGGAAACAGGACAGAAAGGCGATGGACAAAAGATAACAAAGGGGAGAATCAGTTGCCAAGAAATTCTACATGTACTTTACCCTTATGGGGAGTTTCTGAGCAAATTTAAGCTATTATTGCCATATAGTATTACTCTGCCTCCTTTCTGAGGAGCCTATTTTTTAATTTACTGAATTATTAAATATTAATTAAGTACCTACTATGTGCCAGGTGCCATTGTATGAAGGCAATGTATGAAGCTTCAAGGAACCTTACTGTCTATTGGGAAGTTAGCTTTTACTCTGAGCAAGAAGGCAAACACTGCTCTGAACAGAGTACTGACTTTGGATGACTTAGGTTTTAAAAGGATCTTTCAGACTGCCATGCTAAAAATAGATTCTAATAGGACAGAAAGGAAACACAAAAAACAATTAGGAGGATATTGAAATAATTCAGGAAATATGATGCTTCAACCAGGATAGTAATAGAGAGATACTGTCAGATTCTGGGTTCATTTTAAAAGTAGCGGCTCCAGGATGGAGGAAGGAGTTGTTCAGTATGGATCCAAGGTTCCAAGTCTCTGTGTCCCCCTCTGGGGACCCATAAAGAGTTACCATTTACTGAGCTGGAAACAACAGAGGAGGAGGAGATTTGAGTGAAAAAAGAATCAGGGGTTTTGTTTCGGTCATTTTAATATTGTGGGATTTATTATATTTGTAAGTGGAGATGATGAATAGGCAAGACTTGAGAAATGCTGGGTTAGAGATAGAAATCTGGGGGTCATAAGCATATAAATAGAAGTTGAAAATGTGAAGTTCTATGAAGTCACCAAGGAAGTGAGTAAAGATAAAAAAAGAAGCTGCCCAGGCTCTGAGTCCTGGGGCACTTGAATACTTAGAGTTGAGGGAGATGAGGAGACACCAGCAAAGGAGACCGAGAGGAAGCTGTCAGGGAAGAGAAAAGCAGCCAAGAGAATGAAGTGTATGGAAGTCAAGTGAAAATTCAAGGACAGAGTGAGAGTTACTGATAGGAAAATTCAGGCATGGACTAGAGCCTACTTATGTGGAGGTCATCTGTGGCCACACACATCTTGGGAGTATGCTGGCTGTGGAAGTCTGATTGGAGGGAGTTCCAAAAAGAATCAGAAGAGAAGGATTGGAGCAGGAAGACTAGGCATCCCTTTCTGTAAACTCTGTGCTAACAGGGAGCAGAGAAATAGGCAGAGGAAGATAAGGAGTCAAGTTGGGTTTTTGGTTTGTTTCTTTGCTTTTTATTTTTTTTTAGGAAAGGAAAAATCACATCTTTGCATGATGGTGGAAATGATCCAATAGAACACCAAAAAAAAAAAAAAAGACTGTGATTTTATATAGAAAAAGAGAAATTTCTGGAATATTGTCCTTGCATAGTTAAGGAGAGGGATCTAGTGGGCACATGGAAAGCTTGACTTTAGATGGAGCTTCCAGCTCTCATTCTAAGTAAATCACGGGGTCCCTCCTCTTGTAGTTTTATTATTCTCACATGTCAGACATGCTGCTGCTCTCCCTAAACAAGCTTCAGGTTTTAACTCCTCCCACTGATCAGACGCCTGGATAATTTTGTATTTATTCATACTCTTTGAGCCTCTTCATTGTTCCAGGACCATCGTAAGCATCTGAGATGCAGCAAACAGTACAGAAAAGGCCCCTGCACTCCCAGAGCCTGCACTAACAGTAGGTGGAGATGGCCAGTGTCCAGTAGGATACGCACATGAAGAAGATGAGTCCAGATAGTGGTGAGTGCAGAGACAGAACCATCCTGGAGTAAAGGGGGTGAGAGCTTGTTTAGAATGAGCTGAGCATTCAGGGAAGTCCTCCAACACAACATGTTAGCTGCATCCTGAATTTTGAGAAAAAAACCTATTGTTGGTGGGGGTCAGGGGTGGAAGTTGGGGGGAAAAATGCAGGGGAAACTAATGGAAAGAACAAAAGAAGGCTAGTGTAATTAGAGTGTAGTGAGCAAGGGATAGGATGTGCAGAGGAGGTGGAGTGGGGAAAGCCTTGGGATTTGTACTTCATGGGAAGGTGACTTAGCCTGAATGTTTGTGTCCCCCCCAAAAAATGTATATGTTGAAATTTTAATTCCTGGTGTGATGGTGTTAGGAAGTGGAGCTTTTGGGGGTGATTAGATCATGAATCCTCATGAATGGGATTAGTGCCCTGATAAAGAGACCTAGGGATCTTCCACACCCCTTCTGCCATATGAAGACACATTAAGAAGACAGCTATCTATGAACCAGGAAGTGGGCTCTCACCAGACACCGAATCTGCCAGTACCTTGATCTTGGACTTCCAGCCTCCAGAACTGTTTGTTCCTCATGCCACCTCATCTACAGTAGTTTTGTTACAACAGCCCAAATGGACTAGAACAGAGGGAGACTGAATTTTGTGCTAAGTCATTGGTGAGTCATAAGCTTGACCCCTATACACATTTTAAAGAGATCCTTCTGGATGCTGTGTAGAGAATGGATCATAATGGAAGACTGGAAGCAAAAAGACTAGGTAAAAGGTTTCTGCAGTCCTCCAGGCAAGAGACAGGGGGAAGCTTGTTCAGGAAGAGTGGCAGTGAGATGGAAGGGGTGGACGGATTTGTTTTCTATTTCAGAGGTTTAACTGGAACAACTTGCTGATGAATTGGATGTGAAGAGTAAGAGAAAAAGTGGAATCCACAATGGTTCCTAAGGATTTGGCCTGAGTCACTGGGTCAAGCTGCTATTACAGAGATGGAAAAACAACACAAGGGAGATTGGTTTGGGGGAACAGTAAAACCTGCAATTCCATTTTGGACTTAATTTAGAAATACGTATCAAACATCCAAGTGGAAATAGTTAGTAGGCAATTAGCTATAATAAATAAAGAGAGCTGACACTTCTACAGGTGTTTACTATGAACTAGGCATGGCTCTTATCACTTTACAAACATTAAATCAGCATAAATTGCATTTACATAGCCAAGACTGGGTGAGTTCATCTAGGGAGAAAAGACAGATGAAGAAGGAAGCTCAGGAATAAGCCCTGAATACACCAGCATTTAGAGGTCAGTTAGATGCCCATCTTCCCCAGATCCTCAGGTAAAAGTCGCTGGTTATGGGCTTTTGCATAATAGATCAGAATTCCAAATCCTATTTGTTGACAACATCTGCCCAGACAGCTGCTTCCCTCCTATCTCTTGGTCTGTCTTCCAAAGTCCCAGGCATCAGTGGGAGGAATTCATGTAAATACCAGCTGTATACATAAGCCTTTCTGTTTTCTGTCTAAAAAATGATTGTCTCTAAGGATGCTTCCCTGGTCTTAGATTGCTGTTTATCTCTATTTGAACTTCCCCCCACCTCCCAAATGTACTTCAGTGGGGAAACGTATTAAGTTTCAGCAGGCTCTCCACCACATGTTGGCTACACACTTCAGGTTGTGCATCTAAATTGGCCTTTTGGGGGAAAAATTCAGCTGCCTTCATCACCAAATGTATAGCTAATTTCTTCTCCCCAGGATAAGTTTTCACCTCCATCAAAACTCTACTGTCTAGTAAGTAACCTGCTTAACTGAGTGCTAGCACTAATATATATAATTCATGTTTCCTCCACTTGAAGAGTAAGGTTGTCAATTTCCCTTTAGAGGAAAAACCATACCCAACAGCATTAGTCTCAAGGGAAACTGGGTTAGGGAGGTTTAGTGGTCAGCTCAGTGGATGCCAGCACCATTCTTGGGAAAGCAACCATAAAGAGTTTCCCTATTACTACTCCTTAATCAGCAGTTGCTTCCTTACAGAAAAACAGTTCCTACTATACAAATTCCAATGCATTGCATTCTTAGGACTAATTTAATGGCACTTACTTGAACCACACTTAATGATGTGGTCCAAATGCTTAAATGGTAGGGTGCATTATCTTTTTTTCCACTTTTATTATTTGAGAAGATCAGACTTGGCTTCTATTTATGATCAGCTCCAAGAGACTTAAAAGGGGCTTTGATTCCAAAGTATATACATAAATCGTGTAGGGTTTTTTTTCTCTTGGAGATGATGAAAGGCCAATATTTTTCTTTTATGTTTCAACACTAAACAGAAGCCCTTCTGAAATTTTTTAAACAGCAGTTCTTATTAATTACAAGTGAAGGCTTAAAGAGGGTTTAAATAAGAGGAACCAAAATGATCATGTTAGTGGCAGTACTCCATGTATTATTTCTTATATTGTTCTTCCTTGCATGAAAATTCTCTCTCCATATAGAAATAGATATAGATGATATAGATATATAGCGCTCTCTTTTTTTCTCTCTCTCTCTCACTCCCTTCCTCCCTTTCTCATTGTTTCCAATTTTTAGTCCTTGTCCCATGATATTTCTCTTTCTGATAGCATCTTTCTGACCTCTTCCCTGGAGTTTTCCTGCTGGCTTCTCACCATGGCATCCAGGACGTATCCAACAGGGAAATCATACTGAAAATGAATCTGAAAGCAAGGCTTTGGTTCATCAAGGAGATAATACAAGTCAGAAAATGTCTCATCTAATTCTCTGGATTCTGCCTATAATCTGCTATAAAATATTGAACCCCTGATTTTAAATCAGAACCTGAAATGGATCCAGGATGTACATATTTAAATGGAAATCTCTAGGGGTTTTCTTCTCCCATATAAGTTAATATCTTGATTTTCTGCCAGTTTGGTATATGGATTTCAGATGTTCTGATGAATTGATTTAAAAAAAAAAAAAGGACTACAGAAATAATCTACTATGGTATGTCTTTATTTGGAGAAACAACGTCTAATTAGAAAACTGCTTCATTATTATTTATAGCATGTGATAAATTAGGTTTGTGCTATGTCTCTTAGCCTAAATATTTTACAAATCTTCTGTGTATTTTTAGGTGGAAATTTAATATGCAGAGCTACATTTTATGGGGAAACAACTGATCCTCTTGGGTTAAGTATTTTAACATCTTAAGTAAATGTAAATTTTTCAAACAGATCTAGGATGATAAACTGGCATAGTTGTATGTTGGAAGAAAGCCCTCAAGGGTATAAAGCCTGTGTTTTGAAGGAACAATCTAGGATTTGGGAACAGCTAGGGGCAAAAGGCCTCTAATGGATGTACACAGTGTCTCTTCACCAATCCCCAAACTTATGAGGATAGGGCAGCTAGAGTAGACTGGATGAAATTTCACATGAACGGAGGGAGGATGGGTATTTCCAAAGCAGAAGGAAACTCCTGTGGAGAAAACTACTAAGAACCTTTATTATATGGGCCCCTGGGTGACTCAGTCAGCTAAGCTTCTGACTCTTGATTTCGGCTCAGGTCATGATCTCAGGGTCATGAGATTGAGCCCTGTGTCAGGCTCCATGCTGGGCATGGAACCTGCTTAAGATTCTCCTTTCTCCCTCTCCCTCTCTCTCTCCAAAAGAAAAAAAAAAAAAAAAGAAACTTTATCATATGTTCATACTTAACCTACTTCATTAACTCAATTTTCCTAATGGTCTCTCATATGATTTTTAAAACCCATAAATTGTTTTGTTCTTTTTGTTTTTAATAAGAAAGTTAGCATAAAAATAACTCTGAAAGTCTGTTCTGGATCTTCTCAAAAAAATACTAACATCCCTCCCCTTCAGGCTTCCAGGAAAGAGGAAGAGAATTCTTCTGACCCAAGAGGCCTTCCTGGCCCCCTACCACTGCCAAGGTTAGAGCTCGCCTGTTATCAACTTCACTAGCTCTCTTGACTTCCTCTTTATCACACTTGCAATTAATTCATCATTTGGCACGTTTTGTACAATGTATCTTCCCCACTGAACTATTCCAGAAACTCGGGAACCATGTCTGTCTGGTTTACTTGTCTTAGGTGAGACTCTATATGGCACAGAACATCCTCTTGTATAGACATAGATCCCAAGGAAGTTGGAAAGTTGAGAAGGGAGCCACATAAGAAGGGTAAAACAGTAACGTCGTCATCAAAGATGACAACACAGTCACCTCCTATTAACTGCTCACTCTGAGCATTATTGGCTAATGATTAAGAACACAGGCTCTCAAGTTCATCTGCTTGGGTTTGAAACCTATTGCTACTATCTCCTGGCTATGTGACAGCAAGCATGTTATTTAAGCACCCTCTCTCTCTCTCTCTCTCTCTCTCTGACCCACTTTTCCTATCTATAAAATGAGGACTTTAATGTTATTTTACCTCTTAGGGCCATTGTGAATGTTAACTGAAGTAACCTTAGGAAGGGGTTAGCACAGCATCAAGCCCTCAGTGAGGAGCGTGCATTAAGCACTGGGCTGGAGCTCAGTGAGCTCTTTACAGGAATATTGTAGCACAGGTGTGCCTATCCCCACTTTGCAGAGAACAGAACCCTGTCTCTTGCCCTAGGTCATCCAGTGGTAAATCATAGAGCTAGGATTATACCAGAGCATGCCTGCTATAACCCATGGTATGATCTTTGCCTTAGTTTCACTGACTCAGAGAAAGTTACTCACCAACTAACTACTAACTACTACCATAGCTCAGAAATGATACCCTGGCTGATAAGAGTGAGATATGGCCAGCCACACAGCAAGAACTGAGTTTTATGTTGAAAGACAAAAATCTGGCAAGGAGCTCCAGCTCACTGGCCTACAGAGGGCAAGATGGTAGAATCCCTAGTCTGCTGCTGAGGTGGTCAGCAGGAGCATTCCCACCCAGCCACAGAGCACACTTCCAAAAGATTTCACCCATCTCACCCCAGTCTTTAGAACTGGCTAGGGACCAATGAACTATATACTACCAACAAGATGCCAATTAATTAATAAGTCACTTAAGGTATCAACAAACTTGGGTAGGATTAAATGAAACAGGAGCAGAAAATCTAAAAGGCAGCTATCTCCCACTCAGTTAGGAAAAGGCTGGGGTAAATTAGTGAAGTATATGTGCAGTTGAATCATTAAGCAAAATGGCTAATGGTTCAAACTAAGCTAGAGTGCCATTTCTTTCTTGTCATCAGTGTGATATTTTTCTTCCATTTGAGTCACTGTCTCTTCTGATTGTGCTGGGCCAAAGATATAAGTGTTGGTTCTTAATGATTCCTCATGTGTAGGCCTAGCTCTGTGTTAATCAGGAAGAAGATAATGTTTCTTGTGGAAATACAGAGTTATGGAGATAGCCAGCCAGGAATGGGTTTGCATTTTAATTCTGCATTCACTAGCTTAGAAGAAGGCCCTCAATCTTTCTGAGCCTCAGTTCCCAATAAAATGAGTATGTTACTTCATGGTGATATGATAGAGATTAAATAGATAGCATATATAATTGTTAGTACAAAGAAACAAGCATCCCCTGACAATGTTCCCAGCATTTGCAATCACCTTGTCTACCACTTATTTTATGTAACCATTACAGTGACCCAATATGGTCATGAGTAGCTTAGCAGCATTCCTGACCTGTACCTGTGATATACCAATAGCATGCCCTTCTCCAGTTCTCCAGTTCCATGATCCAAAATGTCTCCAGACTGCAGAAGGCATGAAC